TGATTCGCAATTGAGAAATAAGTTCTCTCCACGAAAGAAAAGAATCGTGGAGTCGTCAGGACGTAACAAAATAATGGATACACTTAACGACTTAAGCGACGATTTCCAACTGCAACAATCATGTAAACATTGCAAGGCAAGACGCATTGAAAAAACAAACTTGTTGCCTCAGTTTCCAGTTACCACGATGGAGGAACTAGAGGCTTTAGAAGATATTTTAATGGACAAACCAGAAGCATCGAACTTGTAAGTTTTACATGTTCTGTATCTTACCTATTCTAAACCCAAAAATAAAAAATAAATAATATTCAAAAAACTAATGAGAGTGACGGCGCAGTTTACAAACGCATAATTTGATGAAACAATTCTAATACATACTATAATGTTTATTATACGCCGAGACATTACCAGTGTCTCCAAATAAACAAACAAATTTAATAAACATTATAGTATGTATTAGAATTACTAATTGTGTCATCGAATTATGCGTTTGTAAACTGCGCCGTCACTCTCATTAGCCTTTTGAATATTTTTAATTTAGAGAGTCCATTTCAATTTCATTATAAAATAAATCTTATAAAAATCTTATATTTTTATTGTGTGGAATTTTTTGACAGTCTTTAATTTAAACTATTATTGCGGACGTCAGTTGCGGTTGCAGTTGAAGGCTTCTTAATATATTAATTATAATATGTGTTAATAGGCCCAGTTGTTTGAAACGCAAAGACACAAAGATGCCCTGAGCACAATAAGGCGAGGGTTACTACTACTTTTTCACCCTCTCTTAGCAAGCAAAATTTCATGGAAAGGATACAATAATAATTTCAAGTTCGAAGACACGAAGACTGCGCAAATCTTGTGTGGTAAGTAATACGTAGTTCAGAATGTTATGTAAGACAGGGACAATCTAGAATGGAAACTGTCGGCACGGTAGCCAGGGGAACTTGGAACGCCGTTAGGGTGGCTTAGGGGAGTTTCAGGAGAGTCGAGGAGAGTCGGCGACAACGTCGACGACGAGGGCTTTGAGCTTTAGTCTCGATAACAGTATATATAGCTTTATTCAGAGTCACTGCCGGAACCACAACGTCCTGTGGTGCACACTACAAGAGTCTTCTTCCAAATGATGCCCCTTTTGTAGGGTTAGCTCGTATGCTCTCCAATCGGAGAGCGTTTACAAAAGTAAGTGCAATCAGGTGCCATCGCTGCGGCGCTACTTGGCAGAAAGCCAATCAACGTTGAGGAGGACTGCGCGCGCATACGGCGCGGTGATTTACTAACGGAAAGTCTAGTTATTGAGGCCGTTTCTTACAGTTACATCTTCTACATCAGTGGACTGACGACATTCGCGCGCGAACAACCGAACGGTGCGGACCTCCTTGCGCCTGCTTCGCTTCGTTCCTTGTGCTGCTTCTCTGGCTTTGG